ACGATAGTTTGATCGTATTATTATATGTATAGCTCAGCGTTAGAGTATTAGGTTTACCTCCTCGAGAACTAGGGTTCACAAATTCCATCAAAAAATATAAAATTGTATAAGCGATTGTAATTAATAAAATACATATAAAACTTGTTGTACATACGAGTACATGAAAATATATTAACGTATGTAAAATATTTAATAGTGGGCTATTGTTGGGGACTGAAAAATTTTTTCATAATTTTTATACGAATTGAAACATTTTTCAGAAATACTCAGAAATATTCAGAAAGTTTACATCTTCTGTCAGAATTTTTAATACAAGTTTGAATTTTGAAATTTCTCATCCCATAATTTTTGAAAAATATTTTTTAATTTTTTAGATTTTATAACATTTCATCAGAAATTATATTTACAAAAACTTTAAGAAATCTGACGATATTTCATAAATAACATATTTGAAAAATTCTGAGAAAAGATGTAGATTTTCTGAGAAATGTTCCAATTTGTATAAAAAATGTGAGAAATAGTTATAAAATTATATAGAAATTCTGAAAAATTGTATGAAAATTTCTGAGAAAAATTTTCACCAGGGCTAAAAGTGAATTTGAATTAATCGACATTAGGAACCTACTTTAGGAGATGGAAAATGACCTATAGTTGTTCAATAGTAGTGAGCCAATATATGAGACTAAAGCGGAATACAGATTTTCGATAAGGATATATTGTATAAATTAAAAATTTTATTTTCAACGATGCATAATATCTCATAAAACCATAGCCATCTATTTGTGTACATTTTCGACATCAACAAGGACACTTCTAGACTCTCTAAAAGTAGAATGCTTTTATACCACTATTAGGGTACTTGAATGTTATAAATGCAATTGAAAAGACGAATTATAGAAATATTCTGTCAGGATACGCGATTATAAAATGTATGGCAAGTATTGATATAACGGACATATATCCGGCGATTATCATTCATTTCCGTTGAGGCGTATTGTTTTTTTGAGGCAAATATATTATACTAATTATTATATCTTGCTAAAAGCACCAGTCTTGGCCGCCTTAATTATGAAAGTTTTTAACGTATTCTCATCCAGTTTGTCGAAATTTTCTGTTCGCATTACATCTTTCAAGTGATTCACGGCGAAATCGAAGCAAAATTCTTCTAGCTCCTAAAAAATTACCAATGGCATTCAGTTATTGAATGCATATGTAAATAACCAAATACTGAAATTAATAAAATTTTCATAAGAATAAATAGTGATAGTGTTTGGCTACCTCGTCTTTATGTTTGACTGCGATGCTATACAAGTATGCAACATTCGATACTGTAATTCCTTGCTTTATCATCCGAATGCAGTGCTTCTTGAGATTGCTCTCACAATAGGTGTCAGCCAGGGCAAAGAGTTCTGTAACGATAAATATTGTTTTAATCGTGAAAGTACTCAGGCCAATAACAGTTTGTGGTATACATGACTCACCTAAGACATTCTCCCAGGGTAACTCGATTACATCGGTATATAAGTACTTCAGGAAGGCTTTGTAGACGACATAGGAAAATTGATCAGGCTTAATAATACTGTCGGGACAAAAGAATATTATCGAAACAAGGAAATTTGATAAGTCTTTTACGTAAATAGTAGTATATAATAGTGATCCTCTATTAAATGATTACCTCAGACTCTTTTCCACCCAATCACGCTGAAACATTTTTTTATAGAACGAAGAACGAATCTTCAAGATTGTGCACATGAATATATTGGCCCTCCGCTTGTATCTTAACATCGCTCGTCGACTATGTGAGAAATGAGGAGAAAAGTTGTTAAACACAAATGTGTACAAGATTAGCTTGGTATAAAATTTATATCGCATTTTTCAATTAAAATCGAGACAGAAACGTATTAGGATTGCCAAAGAAAATGAATTTTGAAATTCCCTGAGTTTTCAAGATCTTTCAGACGATAGTGGAGAATTTTCTACGATCAATCCCTGGTGGAAAAATTATTCCACGTTTTGGAACGCTTTTCAACAAAATTTCAGTCAGCATTTAAAAAAAAATTCAATTTAATTTCAACGATTTTTAGCTGAAAAATTCACTTTCGACAAAATTTCAGAAAAATTTCAGTAAAATGTTTAGACAAATTTTAGCAAAAATTTCAGAGAAATTTCGGTTGGATTCCAGTGATTTTTCAGTATGTTAGCTGAAAAATTCATTTTCAGTGAAGTTTCAGCAAATTTTTAGCAATTTCGCTGAAATGTTCCAAAAACGTGGAATAATTTCAACGAAACTTTTTCACCGGGATATCTTATATGTAACCTTAAATTTTAACAATATTCTGTAAAAATGAACCGAGAAATGTTAAACACAAATAAGTGAAGAGGGCTATATTCGATCAAGGCGATCTTAATGTCTATAATAATATTTTCGTTGAATTTTCGTGAATTTGCAGTTCAAGCAAACTGCGCGCCTATTATTTATCAGTTTTTTAACATAGTCTTGAACTAAAGTTGAAGTAATATTACAATTAAATTCACAAACAATTTGATCAATAAACTGGTACATAAAAGCGAGTAAAGAAGGGAAAAAATAACTGTGCCACACACCATGGAAATACTATAGCATATACGTATTGTGACGTGACGTTTTTCACCGTCCGTCACAAGAGTCATGCGACCTGATCGAAGTTGCGCAGCATTTTTGTCCTGTGTCCTCCCGACGCGGAGGGCGGACGTCGCTTATCGCGATCTTCGAGCGATTTTTATCGATACGTTTCGCAGAATATTATTTCTTTTTGCAAGTTTATTTAGGATTTAAGTATCGGCGGCTCTGATACATAATCTATTGTACGAAGCATCGTCTCATCACCTCAATTGGCGGCAAGAAAGAAGATAGAAGACTATATTGGAGGCACAAGGTCATCCAGAGGAGGAGTAGTGCGCAGTGATACCGTTCTGAGTTTTGAATTAACGACCTGTTTATAACTTGTTTTCCTATATCCGTATTCCTTACAGGCAATTATTACAACGGGAGCGACTGAAGCGGCATCAGGGAAAGGATCCACTCTCTGCCATAGTACGAGCGAGAGCCCCGGTGCCGCAAGGGAATCTCTGCCGAGAGGAGACATAGAACCCGGAAGTCGAGATCGTCCGAAAAGAGAGGTCGTCGAATCCTGACGACACTTCGACGAAAGCGGTCCGTTACTGTACCTGGCGCCCGATCGGTGTGGAGATTTAGGGCATGTAAATTTGGGAAATCATTGCTTGCTTTGAGTATCGAATTATCATCACTTGCGAAAACTGTATGGAGTAATACTCGCGAACGCACGACGAAGTTGCACCACGCTCGTGAATGCGGTCGCAGTATGTACTGACAAAAACTGCATATGCATAATGAGAGATATTCTTAGTACATAATTAGATCAGTTTATCTCAGCTGCACTTTTTCTCGTCTTAATCGTTCAGAAGGAAAAACCGCTCAAACTTCAGTGAGCACTCAATGTAATTCTTCATTACAAACGGTTTATATATTTTGCAAAAACTATAATCACATTAACCATTCGGACCAATCTTATAGCGAATTCGATTGAATACACTCAGTGCGCATTAAAGCCATCGTTCATAATCATAAATTAACATAAAAATATTTGTTAATATAAATACAAAAACTTCATTTGATTAGCATATTTTGTTAGATCCTAAAATATAGACCAATCAAATGAAGAAATTCACTGAACGCTCAGTGAGTTCTGAATGCACCAATTTATTTCATTTCAAAAATGCGAAAAAATGCAAGCAAAACAAACAAATACCACATAAAGAACAAAACATACCGGATCATCGAATGCAGTTTCGAGATGTTTCAATATGCCCGTCGTCTCTTCCTTCGTGCATACGATCAGCGGTTTGTGCATAATGCTATGTTGTTCGTAATTCGCAAGCGCTTTGTGCACATTTAAGAATGGAGTGGCGACTGGCTCCGGCATGCTTACACAGCGACAATAACCCCACACATACACACGTCCTCCTTCGCCAAAGCCGCTTAATTGCTTATTGTACACAGCGACAATATCGGACCCCTTTCCCATTCGATGCTCGACCTAGTAATACAATAATTCGATCACGGAAATCTTCAATTTTTGTTATTTCCTTTATAATGACAATAAACATAAATTTACTAAGATTGGTTCACAAGAGTTTGTCTGATTGCCGATCCCTAACTGGCCGTATTCATTCCCACTCCAGGCGTAGAGGTCCCCTTCGTTCGTGAGTGCCAACGTATGCTTGTATCCGCAAACCACTTTGATTGAAGTAACATCGATTGCTCTCAGTAATTTCGTTTCATTTTGTCATTCTCAATTTTTTTTGCACTTTATTAAAATGAGAATTACCAATCACAATGCCTCTCAGTGAACCAACCAGCCGCGGCGTCCTTTGGCGCTCACAATTACCTATCCCCAACTGGCCAGCATCGTTAAAGCCCCAACTATACACTTCACCATTTTCGACAACTATCATGGTAAAGTACGCACCACAGGAGATATGGACAACTTTCTTCTTAGCCAAAATGGAGTTCATTTGCACAGGTACGTCACGAGTTATGTTAGTAATGTTATTCTCTGGTGCGTAATAACGTACCCAAGTGTATACCTAAATCAAATTGGCTATTTAAAATTCATAATAATGGAAGATTTATATGTTCGACACTTTGCTTACCTCGCCAGATTCAATCATAGCGATGGAATGGCCATTCCCGCATGCTATATCCACGACATGCTCCATGCTTAAATCGCCTTCCAGAGGAGACATGTTCACTAAAGTAGACGTAACAGTCTGATCATGCGATTCGTTCTTCAGTTTGCCGTAATAGTTCTGGTTCCAGGAATACACCTTTCCAAGGCGTTGAAGTCAAGAATTGTCAGAGATTTTATGAAATTGCTTAATATATCGATAAAAAAATGATAAAGAAAAGAAATTCAACAATCAAAATATCTTTTTGTATAAACATAAATACAATATATAACTATATATTCCATCTTTTATGTATTTATACTGCTCCGCACCTCACGTCAGGAGGACTCGCCATGAATAAATGATAAGTAGAGATATCGTTTACGATATATTTGTACCATGAATCTTTTCTGATTATTTTCTTTTTCTTTACAATTTTCATCAGTAAATCTTTATTATTAGGGGAAGATCGCCGATACCGAAATATCTGCACTTTGTTTTTAGACAATATTTCTTAAACAAAAGGTAAAAATAAAACTTTACATATACAGAGTGTCTTTTAAGTAAGATCCGGGCCGCATTGGGGGTGTAGAATGGGTCAAGGGGAACAAAAAAGTCTTATTTTGAGATATTCGCTGTAAAAATTTCAGCTAAAATAACATTCTTGTATAGTGTAGACGTGATGCAGCGAAACTGCACATAGGACCGCCATGCCAGGCGGCGAAGCGCTATTCCCTCGCTGCGCGCCGTTATTGTCGAGTAAGGCATAGAGTGGGTATAAAAAGAGTGAAGCCAATCCTGGTTGGTTCTCCTTCCTGATTGGTTCCGCCATTTTACGATTAACTGTTAGTTAGAGGAAGACGACGTTAGAAAAAGAAAAGGTTAGGGTGAGGAATTATTTATCGTAAAATGGCGACTTCCGGTTAATTGGCTTCACTCTCTTTATACCCACTCTAATAAGGCACGATCGTGCTACGAATTCGCGCGGCGCGGCTTCAC